TTCCCTCCCGCCCCTTCCCCCTCCTGGGCCCCGCCTTCACCCGTTCCCTGGCCCTGCCGCGAGCCCACCTCTCCACTCCTCCACTGTGCGCTCCTTGGCCTCCACGCTCTCGTCATAGGGCTCAGCTTCAGGCTCATCACCCGGATCGTGGTACTGGCTGAAGTATGCGTGGGCCAGGGCCTCTGTGGCGCTGACCCGCTGGTCGCTGTCCAGAACCAGCATTCTTCCCAGGAGGTCCACAGCTGCAGAGATGGGCATTGGGCAAGGGCATCAGCTCCTCTTCAGGCCAGCAGCAGCAGCACCCAGTACTGATCCTTGCCATTCCTGACCTAGAGGGTTGGCTCCTTGAAAGACGCTCCGGAGGTCCTTCTGGGGCATGGGAGGCAGAGACTGGATGTATGTTCGAGCCTGAGGACACATGGGCATTGCACAAGCCTGAGAGGTGGCCCACCCCCTAACCTCTTGGCTTCAAACTGGACAGAAGGCTACGGGCAAAGTCCCGAGATGTATTCACCCCATCAGGCCTAGGCAAGAGCACTGTTCGGCCTGAGAACTCCTCCCCATCAGACCTGGTGGCACCTTTGCCCCAGTTCCCCCAGAGCCAATACCCACACACAGGGCAGGGCATGGCCATTGTGGCAATGTATCTCGGCCGTCCCCTGTGCAGCAATGTCCTCCCTTACGATCATCTGGGGCCCAGTCGGTGTCCCACACAATGTCCCCCTTCCCAGGTGCCCAGCTCACGTGCTCTGAAGAGATCTTTGCCAGCACCTCAGGGCTGGGTGTGCCCACAACCTCCATGATGCGCTTCAGCTGGTCGATGTCTGCCTTGCTCATGAAATGCCAGAGGCCAGGCCTGGACCTTCTTGAGCCCGAACCCCAGTCCTGAGACACTTCCCAGAGCCAGCTCTCTAGCTATGGGCACAACGTTCCCTCCCTCCCTGGACCCCGGCACCTAGGAAGGAGGGAAACTCGGTCTATACTCCTCAGCCAGGTCAAGGATACAGTCGCTTCCTGGGAAGAGGGCCTTCCCTTGGATCAGCTCAGCCATGATGCAGCCCACAGACCAGATGTCCACTGTTGGGGGGACTTCCATCAGTCTGCCCATCTCAAGGCCCCCTCAGGGGTTCCCGGACCACATCAGTCCAGCAGGTCTAAAGTGGGTGGACCCCTATCCCTCTCTTCTCCACCCTGGGGGTAGGGGTCCTCTTAACTAGGCTCCTCTTAGGGTCAGTGTCAATGCTGAACACAGCCCTGCCTCTGCCCCAAGGCTGGGCACAGCCTCCCTCCCCTCTTCGGTCCCCAGCCCTCTGTGACCTCTGCCCCAAGGCTGGGCACAGCCTCCTTCCCCTCTTCGGTCCCCAGCCCTCTGTGACCTCTGCCCCAAGGTGGGCACAGCCCTCTGTGGCCTCACCTGGTCTCATGTACCTGTCTGGTTGTAATGCATCCAATTGAGCATGATCTCCGGTGCCCGGTACCATCGTGTGGCCACATAGCCAGTCATCTCCTCATCAGCCTGGCGAGCCAGCCCAAAGTCCAGGATCTAGGGTCACAACAAAGCGGTGAGCCATCACTCACTGGGTGTCCTCTCTGCCCTTTCCCTCCCGCCCTCCTCTCGCCTCACCTTAAGCTCGCAGTCCTCGTTCACTGCCACGTTGCTAGGCTTTAGGTCCTGTGAGAGTTGAGGTGGTCAGCCACATGCACCAGCCCAAGTCCTGGCCGATCCTATGCACGACTAAGGGCTCCCTGCACACCTACCCGATGGATGATGCCCGCTGAGTGGATGTACTGTGGGGGAGGGGGAGAGCATGGTGAGCCTTAAGTCTGTTCTCCCTCTGACACCCTCCATGCCCCCGGACTTGGCCCTTTCAGGCTCCCAGCAGTGAACCTTCAGTCCACGCAGCAGCTGGTAAACCAGGAATTGGACGTGCTCATCACTCAGCGCCTGGCACCTGACAATGTTATTCAGGTCTGCGCCCATCAGGGTGGTCACCAGGTACCTGGGATGGGGTTAGGGGTCAGGAATGTGCACCTCCGCCACCTCCCAAAAAGCATCCCAAGGTCGCGCCTGCCCATCCTGTGCTTACACTTCGCTGAAGTCATCTATGGACATGGCAGGAGTGAAGACATCCAGAAGCCCGATGACCTGGGGTTGGAGGTGGCATATTTCAGCCCGGAGGTCACCCAGTGACTCCGCTCCTGGCGCGCCCTGCTCCCATTGGTCTGTCCGGCCGCTCCCACAGCGCTCCTAGCTCTCATTGGCGGTCACCAAGACGTGCCCACCCCCATTGGCCGGCCCGTCTCGTCGGCCCGCCCCCCGCTCACGTTCTCGTGCTTCATGTGTTTGAGCAGCCGCAGCTCGCGATAGGTCCTCCGAGCGTGGATCAGCGACTGGAAGGGGCGCGACAGCTTCTTCACCGCCACCTTCTGGCGCAGCCGTGCGTCGTAGGCGGAGCTGGAAGGTGGGCGAGTGAGGCCGAGCAGCGGGGCTGGGCCCGCCGCCCTCTGCCAGCACGCAGGGAGCGAGTCCGTGTGCGCCTCCGGCTGTCGGACCCCCTCCGCGGCCTCTCTGCTGCTAGGCGCGCCATGCTCCAGCCCTCCTCATCCTCCATCCCCCGTCCCTCCCCGCCCTCCATCCCTCTTTGTGACTTGCTGAGAGGCCAGCCCCTCTGGTGAGACCTCTGCTCCTTTGCTGATGGCAGCGTGAGAGGAGGAAGCATGCCTGGGACATAGAGTCGGATACGCTTCCTATCAGCCTTTCCTCTGCATCTAGCCGGGCCACCTCCCTCCTCTGGATGCACATTAGTTCCCACTGTCCGCAGACTGATGGCCCTGTACCCCTTGTCCCCTCGCCCTGGAGTCTCCTTCTGCTGGGCCTGGGAAGTGCCTGCCGGCGTGGATAACACATCAAGAAGGATTCCTCTGCCAACTCAACCCTCTGAGCTCTGGGTGGCTCCTTAGAAGCCCTAAGAAGTCCAGCCCCTCAGCACCTGCTCTGGGAACCGGTCCCTGACATATCATCAAAATATAACAGGAAAATTGGCCGAAGGGGTTTACAGCATAACGATTGGAAACTGGAGGGCATGAAGTGTCATGGACTCCCCGCCTTGACCAGCCCCACTTCCTACAGGTCCAGACGCCCCTCCAGCGCCAGCCCCACACCAGGGCTGCCTGCGACACAGCATCCCTGCTACCATCCTCAAACACCCGTGTAACAATCCCCTGCGTGCTCAGGGTCTCACTGTCCAGCACAGCCTGCTGAATGTGGCTTGGGCCTGCAGTAGTAGGTTTGCAGGGTCTGCATCTCCTTCCCCAGCTCGCTGTCCTTCCCTCCCCAGGACCAAACTGTCTGGGATTCGGATGCTCACAGGGTCTGGATGGGGAGTGCAGGGGATGTAGGCCAGGCCCCTGGGGCATCTGAGCCCCAAAACCTAGAAAACACCTGGCAAAGGTCACACTACCTGAGAGAGGGGAGGGGCCCCTCTTTGGCAGCAAACCCTTTTGCCTAACTGCGTCTGCGCGTTGGAGTTCACAGGAATCAGCACCCCATCCCCAGCTGCTATTCCCATGCCAGCCCCAAGACAGAGCGGCCAAACACCCGCTGAATGCAGCGCGCCCAGAGCCCCCTCCTCAGCTCTCAGACCGACAGTGTCCAGGGCAGAGGTCAGTCCAGCCAGGCTCTGTGGTCCCTTGGCATGATCTGACCCTACTCATGCCCTTGAAGACCCCTGAGGGTGACCTGGCTGGCAAGGCCCAGTTGAAGCTACACCGACCAGCGAGATGGGCACCTCCAGCCTCCTTTCAACCCCTAGAAGCTCCAGGAAATGTGGCTGAAGCTTGGATCAGCGCCGCGCCCCCACGCCGGCGGCCCCTGCCCCCACAGTGGCCAGTGGCCACCTGGCACCACCTCCGGTAAGGATCCTGCGGGGCGTTGGGGGCACCTCTCAACCGCTATCGCCCGTCAACATGGAATAACAAGGCAGGCGATTCGGGATCCTCCTATTCTGAAAGCGCTCAGGTCCGAAAGCCAGACCCAGCCAGGCCATTACGGGCGCTCCCTCAGTGCAGCAGGAATGGGGGTGCTCCTCTGTTCTGGTTTCCGCCCCGCCAGACTACGCTAACAGGGTCTGCAGTCAGCTGCCTTTTGGAACAAAAGCGCCTGCCGGGGATGGGGCCGTCGACCGGACCCGAGGACCCTGGATACAGTCGGGGCTCAGGCCCGGGGACCCTGGATACGGTCGGCTCGCGGGATCCGGGACCGGGTGGGAGCACGCTGGGTGACGCGGGGCCCCCATCCCTGGCAGGAGCCGCGTCGGAGAGCAGAGTTCCCACCACGCCCCCCCCCCATTTCGTCGTCCGCACCGGGCGAGGCCGGGGGCCCACCGCGGAGGGGGCGCGCCGCGCAGCCCCTCGCCCCCGCTTCGCCCCTACCAGACCGAGCCGTAGGCGCCGGAGCCCACCGGGCGCAGCCCTTGCAGCCGCTGCGGCACTTCCCACACCGTCTTGTTCAGCTCCTGCCGGTAGAAGCCAGCGCGGGGACCCGACATGTCCGGCGCCGCGGGCGGAGCGCGGCCGGCGGGAGGAGCCGGGCGGGGGATTCCCGGAGACCGGCGCGCACTTCCCTGCGTCTCCGAGGCGCCGGAGAGCGGAAACCCGCCTCCTGCCCCTCCCGGCGGCCGCGCAGACCGGGGCGGTGCCGCGGAGGGTGGGGGCCGCCTTCCAGCCCTGCCCCCTCCCTTTGGGGACCTTGCGCGTCCTGTCCCCCATTCGGGCACCGCCCGGTCCAAGCCGGCGTCACCGTCACCGCCTCCCCGGGCTACCAGTCCCATGGTGTCCCCCACCATGGGACCGCTCGTGCCCTGCACCCCCGGCCTGACGGTGTCTCCTCACTCGCAGCCTGACAGTATTTCCTCAGGCCCTGCACCTTCACCCCAATGGTGTCCCTGTCCCTCCTGCCTGCTCAGATGCTCACACGCTTAGCTCTTGGTGCCCCCGCAGCTCAAATTGCCACATTCTTCTCTGGCCAGTGGAGTCTTGGGGTCCGAGGGTGAATTTGCCACCTGCCTCCAAGGTGGATTACCTTCTCTCTTCTCCCCTCCCCCGCTCCTCATTTTTCACAAGCCCCTCCCCACTTTTGCAGAGAGAAGGGGAGAGCAGAATTGTCAAGATCAAGTGTGCCTACTAGGGGTGCTTGTGTCTTCCATTTCCATTCCATTCTGGCCCCCAGCCCCAGAGGTGCTTAGCCCCTAGGTCACCAGGTGCTTCTTAAGGAAGGCAGTGCCACTTAGGAGAAGCTAAGTGATTTGTTTGATAAGAAGTTGTGCTGCCAACCCAAAGGCACAAGGTTCAAATCCACCAGCTGCTTGTCCAGAGACAGAGGGGCAGTCTCCTCCTATGCAATTTACAGCCTCTGAAAACCCGCTGGAGGGTCAGCTGTGAGTTGTTTGTGACCTGAAAACACAGCCATGTATTTTATTTAGTGCGCAGTGCACACACATCACGGAGAGGTCTGGAAAAGGCTCCTTCTCATCAGGTTTGTGGGTCACTGAGTCATATATGATCTGGCAGCACCTAACAACCACCACCTCCTGGTGACAGATGGCAGTGCCTGGCTTGTGTCCCAGGGGGAGGAAGTTCTGGTTTGGTGTCACCCCTCAGCATCCTTTGCACCTGACTCTTGAGGCCCAGCACTGAGAGGGCCAGGGCCAACGGCTCCAGGGCTGAGGGGCTATGCCTGTGAGGACAGAGGACAGCGGCTCAAGGGCTATGTCTGTGAGGGTCCTTGGTGAGTGTCTATCACTTCTGCCACCCTCTTACTGCCAGGCAGTTTACTGGCCCTCATCTGCAGGCCCACTGCTTCTGGGCTGCAGGGCCTTCAGTTGGTGTGGGCACATGCCAAGCGGGTAGCTGAGGGCAGTTGGGGGGGTGGCATTGAAGGGCAGACTCCAGGTGTCCTCTGGTCCACCAAACAGCTTCGCCAGGTTTTCTCCAGCTCTCTGAGCCTTGATCTATTTCCCGCTTTCAAAAGAGCTGCAGGTTCAGAGGCACTCTTGCATGGGAAAAGTGGGGCCTCCAAGGATGCCATCCCCCAAGATGTAGAATCCAGGCTTCAGCTGCTCAGACTTGTACTTTTTTTTAAGACTTCTACTTTTTCAAGAGAAGCAAAATACAAGTATTTGTGTGAAAGAAATCTCATGAATTTGAAATACTGGCACAAAACTCACTGTGGTACAGACCACATGTGCTATGATTCCAGGCCTGGGGCGAGCAGGACGTGGATTGAGGCAGCAGGGTCTGGTTTCCAGGTGCCTGACCACTGTCTGGCAACCTTGGTTAAGTCTCATACCACAGGGGCCTCAGCTTCCCCTTTGTGGAGTGGTGAATGTGTGGGGTAGGATGGAGGGGAAATCTTTCACTACACCGCAAAGGGGTTTTGTGCAAAGTTAATGGAGCTTCAGTTAAAGGAGGAAAAAGGGGCGGGAGCCGAGGCCTCCCGGGTGTGGGAACTCAGCCCAGAGGCAGGGTCGCCTTCCTGTGTTCCCATGGCCACCAGCCTTGCCTCTGTCCTGGGAGCTGGGCACTTCTTTAGCTTCCAGGGCCTTCCTGTTAGCCTGCCTGCCCTCATGGATACCCAGAACCCAGGGTGTGGGGTGTTAGGGGTCGGGCCTGTGTGGCATTCACAGTGAACGTCAGCTGGCCCTGGCCAGGACATCCACTTAAGAGTTCTAGCAATGGGTGGTCCTGATCAAAGGATGGTCTCTAGGCCCCTTCATGTTTCTGACTGTCCTACAGAGGGCAGTGAGGGAGAAACCTGGCCCTAAGTAGGGTAACTGGATCTGCAGTGGCAGAGGCAGGAATGGAGGTTTCTTACTGACCCCTTGCTTCTCTGCTATCCTCTGTCCTAGCTGTCCAGCAGGGAGAGTGTGAAGGTGGCTGGAGGGACCCAGTGTAGAAGCCAGAGCCTCAGGTTCCAGCGTCTCCTCCACACCCCTGGATCAGCCAACTGAGACTGACCCACTTTTGGTCCACATCTCAGATGCCCCATGGTCCAGAGATGCAGGATATATGCGCAGTACCTCCTTTGCATTTCCTGAGTACCTGGTCTTTGGGAAGAGGGGAACATCAGCTCTCTGACGGTGCTGCTTGGGGGAGATGCCCATCCTTGGCCTTTCAAGAGCTCCTCTCTCTGAGCCAGCAACATGTCCTAGCTGGGGGAGGCACAGGTCTGGGCGGCGCCCCACGTTTGCCAGCTGAGAGCAGGCACTGTGCAGGCACTTGGCTGTGGCCATATTTGAGACTGGAGGTTTCCATTTCCTTCTTATGGAGCTACCAAATCCCCTTTGTGTGTTGCAGGGCTGGGCTTTGAGTACAGTGCTAGTTCCCTGACCTGTGCCCTTTCTGTCTTGTTAACTACTGTGTCCAGCACCCAGAATAGCGCCCAGTACAGATGTGATGGTAAGAATGTGCTGGATAAACAAATGGCAGAGGCCCAGGGCAGTGAGTGAAGTGAGCTCATGCAGCGTGCGCTGTCTCTATGCCACGTGCCTGTACATCCACGCGTGTGGTGCACACGTGCGGCCGTGCCGTGCATAGGTGGCCATGCTGTATGCATGTGGTGCACATGCGTGGCCGTGCCATCTGTAGTGTGCACACATGGCTGTGCCGTGGTGCACACATGTGGCCGTGCCTGCTATGTGCATATGTGCACTGCGTGATGCATGTCTCAGGGAGGGAGGGAGGTTTGTGAACCTGAACTGCACCTGTCTCTCTCTTCATGGTCTTAGCTGTGACCTCACTGGGGCTGCTTCTGGGTTTGTCACCTGAGTGTGGAACTGACCCCAAGGCCGTGGACAGCACAGGATTTAGCCTCTGAGGGCTCTATGGCTGAGGGCAGAATCCTCGAGGACTG